TGATCCCCTGGGGCATGGCATCTCCCCCTGGGGTCGGCGATCTCTCCATGGAACACGTGGAGTGGGGGCATATAAGTAGCCTTGGTTTGGGGTGGAACCTAAGGGGGCATTAGGGATGCACAGGTAACCCATTGGTCTTTGTTTGGTGCCATAGGTAAATTCTTAGGGGTGGGGGAGATGGAGCTCCTTGGTTCTGGCTGAGGCTTTTCCAGCTACAGTGTCCAGCCTGGGCCAAAACTCTTTCACTTGTGTGACAAGCAGCTGGAGCCCTGGCAGAGGTCGCTATTTGATGTTTGACTTACTCTAACATGCCTGTAACTTTGCTATTTTATAACCGTGCCTTTACTGTTTTTGTAACTGTGCCCTTACACTTCAAGGTAAGTAGATAAATTTATATTCTGATATTTTAAAAGGAGAAATATATAAAAGTCAAGAATCTAAATCTTTAAGAATTTGCAAAAATAAAAATGAATTTAACTCAAAATGAAGTAAAGGAACAAATAAATTTAAGAGAAAATCATTAAAGTTGAAAATAGATGAAATAAAATGAATAAAGCCAGATTTCTGTTATGTTTTGTTTGCTTTTTGGTTCTGTGTGTGTGTGTGTGTGTGTGTGTGTGTGTGTGTGTGTAGCACTTGCAAAATTAATCAGGAGGAAAAAATCCAAATTATGTATTTTGAACATAATTCTTTTCATTTGGGAATTAAAAGGTGACATTATTTCAGATCCTATAAACACTAGAAAGATAGTGAGAAGAACTAACCACTATGTGTCAGGAGATTTGTGAATGCAGATGAAAATTTTGGAAAACACATCCAAGTGACATCTCTGTTATGTGAAGAACAAGAGACTGAACCTTCCTTCCTTGTACTGATTTCCGTGATGCTGGTTGATTGGGCTCATTGGGCTGGCTCTCTCCAGAACAGTCTCCTGGGGACCCACGCAGAGGGTCCCTGGCCTGGGATCCTCAGCAGACTCAACCTGGACTCTGGGCCAAAGTCTTCCATGTGGGGCCAGAGTTTCTAACATGGCCTATATGGTCTCATCAGCATCGACTTCTTTGATGGGCCCAGAGCCTGGAAAGTATGTTCTCTCAGACAGAAAAGTGACAGCTGGAAGATTGCTTAGGTCCAGTCTCTGAAGCTGTATTGGTCTCAGAGTCAGTGCAGGAAAGGGATGGGGACAAATAATCTGTAGCCTCCTTTACTCTTTCCATGTGACCTCTCAAAGTGGGCCAAAAATGGACAATTTGTATCTCCCTTCATGTGATAAAGAAACTATAGCTTTCTTAAACTACGTTTCAGAGAAAACTAAATAACTAATTGCTTCAGTGTTAAGTCCTAGGAAATATTTAATTGAGCTGGGATTGGTAATTTGCGTAGGTGTTATGGCAAAATTTCTCTGCTCAGAATTTATAGAAAGGACCCTTTTCCCCCTCTTGCTCTGTGGGGCTATCATAGATTAGAGCACTGTGTTTGGAAGAGACTGAGTACTAGAATTTAAAATTTATTCCATGCTGCAAGTTGTGGACATTCGACACTATACTAGAATCGTACAGGAGATCTTGGTATGTTGAGCTCAATTCTGTCCATTGTGTTGTTATTTTTCAAACATTCTGTATTTAATTCAGACCTTAGCATTTACAAATGAAGTTTTAAAACAAAGTGGTAGTTTATACACTTTCCCAATAGCAAATAGAAGAAATAAAGTGTCCCAAAACAGCAAGCAATGAACTTGTCATGATGGTCTGTGCAATTATTTGAATACAGATTTAAGATAATTTACATCTTTAAAATAGTTGCTGTTTTAATTAATGAACGTTTTCCTTCCATTATAACTCTTAGACTTTCATTTATTTTCTTTCTATTTTTCATTATGTAACCTTCTAGCACTCCAGATATCAAGAGGAAAAAAACAAACATTTCACACTGGAGCTATGTGTGCAATGTGGTAAGTATATGAAGTGTCTAAGTATCATATTGAGGAAATTCATGTTTGAGTTTAACATTAGACTTCCTTTAGACAGCTCAGGTTATGTGCTGAATTCTGCCAGAATGGGGCTCTATGATTCTAGCATTAGGTCTGTATGCTTCTTCTACCCAGGGGTTTCTCTGTGCCATGGGGAGACTCTGGGTCCCGGTTAAGGGAATGATGCTGTGAAGATTAATGGTAACACAAACGCATCTGTAGATATGCATTTCATGGCTGTTTCTTTTCATATTTGCCAGTTGGCTACTGTGGAAAGAGCAGTACAATCGAATTCTATTACTAGGGTCCTAGTAAATTAATGACATTATCAAAATATTTGATTTTTAGAGTATCATATTTGACATGAAAAATGTATTAAAGATGATGCTGTGAGACAGCAGTGAACATTAGATTTTCCTGAGAGAGTTAGGTCCTTCTTCAGCAAATTATACAAACATATATTTTTATATAAGATGTCTTGCCTTACTTGAAACTACACTCATAAATAAAATAAATCAAACTCATATTTATAAATATCATATTGTCTTCCTAGAATAAAAATATAATCCTCATCATAATAATAATAAACTGAAAGAGCAATGTGATCCAAAATGTACAATAGATGATGTAATCATCAAAGAGAAAGAAAGTGCTCAAAAGGAAAGAACAACTGGGATAGGAGAAAGGATAAAAGAAAGGAAAAGATTGTACATATGTAGATATGCATATATAACTGTGTATATGTATATGTATATATGTATGTATATGTATATGTATGCAAGATAGATAACCATACTACTAATCTCTGTTAGTCCATCAAAAAGAACAGTTTGTACTTTCATTGTTTGATCTTTTTTATGCCTAGATCTTATAACCTGAACAACTACTTCAAGATAACAATATGCAGCATATTAACTAGTATTAATTTCTATTTTTTTGAAGTGCTGTATTATTTTTGTCCTTTTGTCTATTTTGCTTTTTAAAATAAATAAATAAATGAATGAATAAATAAATAAATAAATAAATAAATAAGCTGTCCTGCCTTAAGGAATTCTTTGTTAATACACTTTGATCAACATTATAGGTCTTTCGGTGGGTGTTAAGAAAACAGTTGCACGTCAATGGGGTGGGTGATGGTGTACCCACCCATGGTATTTTGCAACCCACTGGGCAGAGTGTCTGGGAATTGATTGTTCCTCTCCACTGGACCTTACAGAGTTACTGGAAGGCCAGTCTTGGAGACAGGGAGAGGAACCTGCTTTCTAGTAGAGCTCAGTGTGTCTATGTTTGCGACATAGGCTCATCCATCGCACTCCGGATGTACTGAGTCCTGCAATTTCCCCAAACGTGGGAAACTCGGTGGCATAATCCATGGTAGTGGGGGACTGCATTCGAACTCCCCCTGAAAACAGGAAAAAAAAAGGTATTTGTGGTTTAACATTTCAAGACCCTGTATATTTGAGTCTTTGAGTAATATATCAAAATGCAATGCTGAAAAGATTCTGAGTTTCACCTGACTATAAATTTAAAAGAAAGAGAACTGTGAGATTGTAAATTACTGGAGACACAAGAAGAAGCAGATCAAAGTTTTATTCGTGAAGTCTTTGCCTACACCTAAGTCTTAAAGAGTTCTACCTATTCTATCTTCCAGTAGATTTAGTGTTTCTGTTTTAATATTTAGATTGTCAATCCTTTTTGACTTTAGTTTAGTGCATGGTGATAGGCATGGGTCTAGTTTTAGTGTTTGGCATATGGAAAGCCAGGTTTTTGAGCACCATGTATTAGAGAGTCTATCTTTCTTCCAGTGAACGTGTTTGGCACCTTTGGTGGCTGAGTACATTTGGAATTGTTTCTGCATCTTCCAGTCTGTTCTACTGATCCTCAGGTCTGTTGTTTTTTGGGTTTTGGTCTTTTTTTCCACTGCAAAGGTGTTTTTATCAGAGGAACTCTGGAGAATAATTCAAAGTCATAAATTATAATGTTTCCTGCCTTGTCATTGTTGCCCAGAATTGTTTTTGCTATACCAGGTCACTTCTGTTTCCAAATTAATTTTAGAAGTGTTTTCTCTAGTTCTCTGAGGTATGCTATTGGTAGTTTGATTGGGATTGCATTAAATCTGTATAAAAATTTTGGAAATATAGCTATTTTTACTATGTTGGTGCTTGCTACTCAAAAGCAAGGGATATCTTTGCTCTTTCTGATATCCTCTTTGATCTCCTCCATCTAGACTCAAGTCAGTTATGCTGTTGAAAAACAGCTACCTTCTATCCAGTACAAATACTGACCAGTTTATTTTTCAAAATTCTGTTTTGCAGATCTGCTAGTTCATTGCCCTGTTATTCCAGGTGGTGTGGACAGTGAAGAACCAGATGAATTACTGAACTTCTTACTTTTCATCCTGCAAACACCAAAGATACTGTGTGTGTAATTGAAAATGAATAATAAAATATTTCCATCATTGATTTTTAATGGTCTTTCCTTATAAATGAACAAATTTCTACACTTGAAAAGTAAACTTTGTGATATTATTCAAGTTAGCAACATTTACCTAAATGAAATCAACTTGATTATTCACAAAGGCTCCACAGGAGGGAGAATGAGCTACTCCTGTGGGGTTGATTCCTCTTACTTCGCGGTCTGCTTGTTATACAACTTTCAATACAACAGGGTGGCTTGGGGAAATTGGAGCCCATGACCCTAATTATTGCAATCATCTCTTTCTTTGAGAATCTATTTAATCCATGGATGACATAGGCAAGATACAGGAGCAAAACTTGTCACCACTACACATACTTCTAGAGATTTTAAAGATGATCGGACTGTAAAAGACACTCAGCATCTATAGCTCAGAGTTTGGGACCCAATCCTATGCAGAACTATTAAAATGAAACAGGCCTTTTAAAGAAGGAAGTTGTAATTATCAGAGGAATACCTTTATGCTGAATCTCTGCCTAGCAACTTGTGATGCTAAAAATCTCTGATGCTGATTGGAACTTCGACACTGTAATGACCAGGCTGCATGAAAGAGCGTTGGTTCTCATTACTAGGGCGGTGGGTACACAGGGGTATAGCTCTCACTGCACAAAACTTGTCTGCTCTTCTAACACTCATCGTTTCCTGTTTTCCAGCGTGATGCATCTGTGGCTTCCTGCAAATTCCTGCATAGCAGCTCTGACTGTAATACTGATGGTGCTGAACCCTCCTGGGGCTTTGAGCAGGGACACCAGATGTAAGTGTATATCTTGGGTGCTAAAGTACTATGGGAGGGAGAATGAAAGGCTAATAGTCTTACCATGTCCAGGTCAAGTGACTTAATATTGTGCATGCCTTTTTCTGGTAACCTGAGCAACTATCTTGAAGATAACAATGTGCAATATAACAATCATTGTTAAATTACTATCATCTTGTTTTGAAAACCTATGTCACTCTTTTCTTTTTTCTTGATGTTGTCATTTTGATTTTGTTGCTGTTTTTTGATTGTTTGCATCTTGGTTTTTTTTCTTTTCTCTCTTTAAAATAAAATTTTTAAATGTGATATTTTTCTGTGACTAATTATCTTTATCATGTTAATTCTAAATGATTATCACCAAAGAGAACGCATCTGTTTATCCTCTGTGCAAGGCCTGCATATGATGCCTCTGTGTAGGCTGCGTGTACCCACCTTCCCTCCAATCAAACCTTTCCAGCCTTACATTGTATTTCATCAGGGATGTGAGGCAATGCAGAAATCATGGTAAAATGATTTCCAGTCTAACCCTTCCCCTTATTATATCAAGTTATGGCAACAGAAAGGAAGTTTTCTATGAAAAGTGTATGAGCAGTGAAAGGAAACCGGAAGGAACTCTCCCAGACGATGCGTCACCAGGACCTGTGACATAGCTTCTTCTGTCTAGCACGTGACAGTGCATAACCAGGTGTCATCCATCACCTGTCACTGTCCTCTGACTTTCACACTGTATGAACCTTGCAATGCTGTGTCGGAGACACTTTAAGATAATACTATTTCATCTTTGGAAAGCCTCCTACTAACATAGACTACTTAGTTTTGGGGATAACCATATAATTAAGGAGTGCCTAAATGTTCTTTGATTACTTGAAGAGGTGGGCAGAGGGATCCAGAGCATGGCTGTTCATGTGCCAGCTACTGTTCTTGTGGCTTAATGAAACCCTAGTCTGCCAGCTAGTTTGATATCCGCAGGGAGGGTTTCTAGTTCAGCATGAGTTTAAATTGGTAACGATCCCAAAGTCCATGTGAGGAAGTGCAGATTATTAGGCTAAAGTGCTATTTAAAGTAAAGGGAAAGGTCCTGGTATTTGGGAAACCTTGGTCAGTGGTTAAAAGTTCTGATTTAGCTTGAGAAATACAGGCATTGTATCTGTTTCCATTTTCTGTCATTTGGACATTAAAAGGAAGTATTAGGGAAGGTTCCAAGGGATACAAATGGGGAAATTGGTAAGAGAAATAGATCTGAGCATATGATGTTGCCGGTATCTTCCTGCTCAACTTTTCCTGGAAGTTGGGGGAGTCACAGGTTTTGAAGTTGCAATACTTTTGTTCTTTTCTGTAACTTGCCTTTCAGACATTCCATGCTGCTTAGGATTCCCATACCCTCCTTGCTGAATTTTTCAGCAAATTGTTCTCCTCAATTGTTCTCTTCAAAATAGTTTTTCCTTTGATGCCCCGGTTTCCCCATGGCAGTGCCATGCACAGGGCACATGTATTTGGCTCTCTTGGATGCTATCGCTCCAGGCAGTTTTTACTGAAGTATATGTACTGAATAAATATTAGAAAACTACCGCCAGATTTTCTGATTTCAAATACTTGCTCAGACTTTCACAAAAATGTATGACAGTTGGTAATTCAGTTAATCCCTCTGTCTTTAAATTACTTCAAACAAAATAAGGAAGATAACAGACACTTTGTAGAGTAATTGATAGACTTAAAAGAGCTATGTGGAAAGCATTAGGAATAATGGCACTCACACCATGCACTGACTTTTGTGCAATTTTGTCATCCTATCCATGCACAGGTCCTGTGGATGTGGCCAGAAGAGAGAGCTCAAAGCCCATTGCAACCTCTTTTTATTTTGTATCAGGATATGGCCACAGTTCTAGCATCATCATCTTGTACTTAAGTTATTCTGGTAGACAACAAGCTCATCTACTTTCTCTCACTCTTGTTTCTTTTTTAATCAAAAACTCTCTTTATACTAATATTAGTGATATGATAAAACATATACATCTGCAATTCCAGCCTTCAAACACTTAGAAACAGATGCACTTTGGAAATTAGGGTTTTGGATTTGTGATGTTAATATACTTTTCCCAACTAACATCAGAATACTTTCTCCTAAGATAAGGGTCACTAACTTGTAACAAAAAATCAATATTGCCACACTCCATCCTATCAATATCTATATGGTGTAAAACACTATATAGTATTCTAGCAATTTTTTGTTCTTTTTTTTTTTAATAGAGTCTCACCTTGAACTCACTATGTAGCCCAAGGCTGGCCTCTCTGTGGTCCTTCTGCTACATAGGTTCTTTTTAGTATTTCTACAAACATACTTTTAAATTCCCATTTTAGTACAAAATACCACCAATAATAGGTTACATTTATCAAATTACAAAATATTAGATGACATAAAAATCCTTATCACAGTTTGTAGTTGTTTTTCTTAATGATGTGTCTTTTCAAACAGAATATCCTTGATTATAGATGTACTTTAGAAGAAACTCAGGTCCAATTTTTAAATATTAGAGTTATGCACCTTGGACCATCTAGTATTTAGACACATGTAACTATTACAATCCAGTGAGGAAAACATAAACATAAGCCTAAATTATATTATTATAATATTATATTATTACAAACAATTGTGATTGAAGACACCAATGTAATAAAGTGTTTCCCTAAGTGTTGCATTTTAGAATTTTTCAAAAATTTCTAAAATTTTCTAAGTTTAGTAGGTTTCTCGAGACACCTAAACATATAAATACACCAAGATTTTGGCAAGAAATAGCATCACAGCTACATTTCTTTCCCATATACTAACTTATTTTTCATTTTTGAGATAAAATTTAGAATCTAGCTCAATAATATAGTCATAGTCATGTAATTTTTATATTTAACAGATCTACAAATTTTAACAGCATTAACACAAAAATTAAATAATTTTAGATCTTTTAGAAGGCTAGGATGCAGTGTTGCTAGCTGGAAAGTCTTATTACCCAATATAGATGTGTAACTCACTCATACAGTAACAAAAATGCTTGTTTAGTCAAAATCAACAACTATAGATCAAGTAAAGCTTACATAATCTTAACTCTATAAACTTCACATTAGACAGAGCTCAGGCTTGTGGCATATTTTGTTCTCAGATGTTGTACACGTATTTTGTTGTGCATCCAGTTATGTAGAGGGTGTGCTGTAACCTAAGATAATAATTGCTCATGCTCATTTTACTAGTTATAAATTGATTATTAAAAAGATTTCAGAACAAGCAAATGTTTAAAATTTAACTCGTAAAACTCATTTTACATAATCAAAAGTTAACAGAAAAGTCAGGAAATTTTTTTGATAGAACAAAAACCTTTTTTTCCCTAGTTTTTTGAAAGTTTAATCACTGGCACTTCATTATCTAAAGAAAATCTTTTTGCTTAAGGTGCAGAAAACTCAACCTAGTTTTTGAATTATAACCAATTTAATCACATATAATAATATTGTATAACTATGTTAGGTGAAGCCCAGTAAGACTCTGGGGAAAACTAGAGAAGCCACCCAGCAGTGGTGAGAACTGAAGCAAATTGATTCAGAAATTTGCTGTTTTAGCCACAGAGGGAAGTTTCATCCAGCAGTTCCTTAGACCCAAGGGTCCCCACTTAAGGGAAAAAATATTACATATTATTTTCATCTAAAACTATGTATTGGAATTTTTTAACACTCAGCACCTTTATGAAGAAAGCAACCTTAAATCTTTCCTCTTATATGTTAATGATTTATGAAAATACATTTAGTAGACGTAAATATATTAGTATTTAAAATGTTAACAAGCCAAAAACACTTGAACTTAGTAACTTATGACTTAAATGTTGTTATAAGTATTTATAAACATTAATCTCATTTACAGTGACTTACAATTATTTTAGATTATTTATGTATATCAAGGTAATAGACTAGCATAGTTAATACTCTAAACACATAATATATATACATATATACATTATATATATATATTTATAATTTGCTTTGTTTTGTTTTTACTAAAAGAAAATAAGCCCTAAACAGCTTAATACTTAAAGTACAGAAAGCCATGAACATTGTACCTTAGGTCTTTAATGAATTCACCTGGTAGGTTAAGCAAAATGTACATTCACAATTTTAAAGGCATCTTTATTTTAACGACCAATTTAAATTAACTCATTGTTAAGAAAAAGGCATTTGGGCTAGTTACAGGTGTCTACTTATCTATAGGCCAACTTAAATAGATATTCGGAGGATAACATTTACATAGAAGTTAAACACAGAAAAATACTTAACTAAGCCATATAATCTTTAGGTAACTAAAGATTAAGGTTCTTATTTGCAAAACTTATGCAGATTTGGAGCCTAGCAGCTCCATTTTAATATCTAAAGTGCGTTCTGTAGCCCTGGAATGTTTGTATAACTGTGTGTGTGTATGGCAGGGGGTAACCTAACAGAGCCAGAAATGTGTAAGGAAAAAACAAGTTTTAAAAAGGTGATATAATCTCCACTTTTTAAAATGGATCAGCTGCAGGCACATTAGCCTGTCGATGTCGCTCCCGGCCGGCAGGAAGGACACACGACAAAGTCTGGCAGTGGACAACCTTTTCTTTTATTTTCCTTCTCCGTACAGCCTGGGATCGCTCCCAGCCAAAGCCTCCTTTGGTCCGCTCCCCGCGGCTCCTTCTGGGCTTCTACTTCCGGGCTTCTTCTTCCCCCCAGGGGTGGCACCAGTATATATACGGATACAGTGTCCAATCATGTTAAAGTAAGCAAGGCAAGCTGATTGGCTAACATCATCAGTTGCCAGGCAGACTATATTGTTGAGCGGGTTGCTTACGCGGTAAGCAGGAAACTAACGTGCTCGATGGGAGGGGTAATCTACCTCAGGCTTTACTCTTTCCTACAGGCCTCACGTCCGCCAAGTAAGGCGACCGGGCTCGGGGCTGCGGCTCCCAACATCTCCCCCTTTTTTATTTTTTATGA